CTTAAAAGGGCAGGAGTGTGGTAAAATGTGTGTTGCTGGGCTGCTGAATTGGCTCCGCCAATACACTGTATTGAATCTATTCAACAAGTAGTAATAAAGATTTCCTCAGGAACAATGATTCCTAGATTTGGAGAAATCGAATGGGCAGACATTTGAAGAAGGAGAAAGCTGTAACTGTCCCAGTCAGGATGAACATCTTGCCAAGGCTCAAGTTTTTATTTGAGAAGATCCCAAAAGGAACAGATGAAAAGACACTTTATACCTGGCAGAGATGAGCCACTGATTTTATAAGGTCTAAAAAAGGTCCTAGGAGGTAAAGTTCAAAATTTTACAAGACATGAAAGAACAAGGCGGATGGGTGGCCCCAAATGCTAAGTTGCATTAGGAGGCTGGTTGTTTACCTGGGATAAAAGAATGAATTAGAACATTTATGGCTGGATTGTCCCGATGAAACAAGCAGGACTTCTAGGAATGGGCCAAATCCGTCAGAAGGTAAGGGATAGAGATAAACAACAGGGGATAGGTGGTCCCTCAGTAACAGGACCCTGTTCTATGAAAGGCTTTACAGGTGACAAACAGCACTTTGAGTTGCCCTCAGAAGCCTACCAGGGCAGCTCAAGAAGTAGAGCTGCAGCTTCTGAGTGGCCTTCAAGGGCAGCCCTGTATAGAGTAGATTACAGTAGTCCAGATGCACAGTGATCAAAGTGTGAGTTTCTTGAGGGTTACTCGGTCCAGGTAACGATGTAACTAGAACATCAAGTGAACTTGGGTGAAGGCCTTCCTCAGCACAGCAGTCATGAAGCTATGAATCCAAGAGGACCCCCAGACCAAAAGCGGATGGTCATGGAGCACAGTCAGGAAAAAGGAAGGCTCTATAAAATATTATTAACATTTGTCATAAAAGTTGGATTGTTGCAAGTTCAAATAAGTTTAAATTTGCTGGCAAAGGTTTCATAGGTCCCACCCATAGATAGGAAAGTCAGACCAAATTCCTGGGGAGGAGGGAGAAAACAAGGGCAAGGTTGAAGGTCTGATGATTCAGCAGAAAGTGTAGCCAGGCAGTGCCTTGTGCAGCGCTTTGAAACAGACGCTTCTGTCACTTCAGTTTGCGGAACTTGTAATTATTCCTGAAAACTGTTTACTACAAGGAAATGGATTGGACTGCACCAATTTTAATATTATTACTATTTATTCTTGCAATTATGTCCCTTTTGAAGAAGGGCAGTTCCTGGAATGACAGCTCCCT